ATTTCCCCACAGCTACCCACAGGAGTCAGATCAAAAAAGGGACAGAGGCAGACACAGGCCTGGGGGGATTCCGGAACTTTCTGGTGAATCCTGGAGTGCACAGTGAAGTCATTTGGTTCCCAGAAGCCCAAAGCAAGGACTGGTGAAAGAGCCCCGAGGGAGGAGGGGCAGGTGTGCTACCCCCAGGCTCAGCTTCCTGATGTGGCACCGGCCCCACCAGATCTCCTTGGAGCTCCCCCAGTGCTCTGGAGGCGACACACTCGGTCATTCTCCCTCTCTCCTCTTCTTCTGTTCTGCCCGCTCCCCCTCAGGACCCTCCAGGTCAAGAGCAGCATCTTCCCATGAGGATAGGTTGAACTGGGTCTCATCAGCTAGAGCACCCTGCCCAGGCTCTGAGGTGCGTGAATCGCTAGGGGATGTTGTCAAAATGCACCCGATTTCCAAGTCCGGGGTGGGGCCTGGGTGCTGCTTGTCTAGGAGGCTTTCCAGGCGAGGCCGTCGCCGCTGGTCCACAGATCGCACGCTGAGGAGCGAGGATCTAGGCTTTCCCACGCTGGCTACATATTAGAATAGACTGGGGCACTTTTAAGGCTAGTAAATCATCTGTGGACACCATCTCAGATCAATTCAGTCAGATTTTCTGAAACCAGACCCTTGGCTGTGGGTTTTTGTTGCTGTGGTGGTGGTTTTCTGGACCGAGCTAGAGTCTAGATAATTTAGAGGTCACCCACATGAAGCCTAGAAAGCTTAACCGACTTGCTCACAGTCACCTGCGAAACTAGGATTACAAACAGACATGGCAGGGCAGTGGCCTTTGGAACCAAGCCTGTGCCCCTTCCCTCCTGTGGATTTTAGCAGTCTCTGTGACTCCAGTCCTGCCCTTGGGCTCAGGGTTGCAACCTATGAGATTCCATTTGGAATCTCATAGGAGCAGAAAAGACGCTTCCTAAGCCTGCCTGAAACTTTACTCTTAGTGGTTCATTATTTGGGCAGAAGGTGAGCGGACCTTTGTCCTGAGCAGATCTGTTAGCAGCTCAGGGGCAGTGGGCTGCTCAGATCCCCCTTGACTGGCATTGGGCTGCTTTGTGGGATCTGGGATGAGGAGAGGGAGGGACCCTGGAGTCAAACCTGCCTCCTGTTGCAGCTTTGCCAAGGGCACCCAGCACAGAGAGGCAGGCCTTTCTAAGTCAGCTGCCCTGGCTGTGGAAGGTCATGGGGCCGCAGGCAGAGGGCAGGAGGATGAAGGCAGAGCTGCTCCAGGCATGTGTCCAGGGAAAGCCGTGACCTTCTGCTGTGGTATGTGGTATGTGGCACTCTTCCTTAAGGCACAGTGCGGTGGCGCCACGCCCAGATTGGTTACAGCTGTGCTACATTCAATGGCCCCCAACCCACCGAGGCTCTCATGCTCAGCATCCCGGGAAGGGAATGGGCGCTGGGCCTTAGAAAGTAGGGATGGTGGACACGCTGCTTATTCTCTACCTCCCCTCCCCTCATTCTGTTGAATCCTAATTTTGTTCAGGGCTGCAATCCTAATTTTGTTCAACTACCTCAGACACCCTACAGCTGGACACGGCCACAGGACCTAGGCCGACCAATGAGAGGTAAGCAGAAGGCCATGGGTGGGGCTTCCTGGAGAGCTTTTAAAAGGTAGCTACTTTTTTCCTCCCTTCCTCTGACCTGGAGTTGGGGGTCGGGTATCTGGAGCTGTGTTGGCCATTGGAAGATCATGAGGCTGGAAGCAGTGGGATGAGGTAAGAGCTGTGTGCTCAGGATGGGCTGGGTCCTTGACAACTTCCTAGAGCAGTTTCACCAGCCAGGGACTGGCTACCTGGGACTTCCTGCTATGTGAGAAATAGCAGAAATAGCATGACCTCTACTTGGTTAGGCCACTGTGGCTGTGTTTCTTTAACAGCTGAACACAATCCTCAAACTCAGGACCCCAGTAAGAACGTTTTTGGATTGGAAATGGGTAGGTCAAGGCAAGAACATGGTCCCCAGAAAGTAGAAGGGAAAGGAATCCTTTATTTTTTTGTTTGTTTTTTGTTTACCATCCCACTCTATAATCTTTAGTCCCTATTTCCCAAGGGCTTAAATTTGTATTCTTCAGACCAAGACTCTATAAAACTTGGCCCCAAACCAATTTTCCAGGTGTGCTACCCTTTATACCATTCACGGAAGAGTGACCCTTCTCTCCTGAACACAGACTGTACACTCCCACCTTGATCTTGGCTTGTGTGAGTGATCCCTCCTCATGTCCACCTGTTCCAGGTTTACCTACCCTTGTAGGCTGCTCCTTCAAGGAGCCTTCCCCTATCACCCCGGGCTGCAGAAAGCTCTCTTCCTTCCACCTGCTTTGTAACTGAGGTCTATATGCTGATAGCTTCTTTACATTTTCAGGTGTGTTAAACTCATCTCGCCTGCAAAGTTGGGAGATCTCCAAGGCAGGATTTTGGGAGCATGGTAATGTGGAAAGAACCTGTGCTCCAGAATGATCTTGGGTAAGTCATTTGACTTATTTGAACCTTGGCATCCTCATTTGTGAAATGGAGAAAGTACATGTTTCTACCTCCCAGGGTTTTGGTGAAGATAGCCTCTGTAAGCACTTTAGTAGGGTGCCGGCGCCTTGGCGTTGGTGCTGAAGAGGTGCTTGTATGTTAGCTTGTTGGCTTTTGCCTCATTGGTAACTGCTTTGCTGTGCCTTTTTCCTATGCTTTGCATCTCTCTTGCTTCTGATTTTATGTTTTGTATTGAACCAGGAGACCTGCTCTAAGTTTGGGGAGTGACCGTTGGGTTGCTCTCATTTTCCTAGAGGGCACATCTTGGGCAGCTGGCTTCAGTCTTCAACTATAATAGGAGGGCTGGAAGGGGAGACTTCATGCCCATGGATAAGCATGTGAGATAAGATGGTAACTTAACTGCTCAAAGGAGTTAACTGAGTCTTTCTCTGAAAATTTTAAAGGAAAATGAATGTATTTAAGTCCCGTTTTTACCTGGTCACAGGAGGATGCGCTAACGGACCTCATACCACTTAGTATTTTTCACAAACTCCCAATTCTGCCTGTTACAACAAGGTATAATAAATATGTGGGCCTTAAACTTTTTGCTGTTGTGATCTCCATCTTTTTCCTACCTCAACACCATGCCAGAAACCCAGATCCAATAAAATGATTGTGAGAAGTGACTATAGCACAAAGTCCCATCGTGGAATGTTTAAGGAGAAATGACAGTTTTATCACCACCTAGTTAAGTACCTGCCACACGCAGCTATAAATGGGGATGGATGTATTGAATTGGGCGGAAAATGAGAAGTCACCATGGACTTAAATGGCATGATAATGTGTGCTGACATTGAAGTCCCAAGGCAGTGTTTTTTCCATGTGGTTTCACTGAGCATCACTCAGAGAGTCCAGTGAGACAGAAACTCTTGTCCTGCTTAAGGCAGAGCCCTATGCGGGGAAGAGGAAGGGTCAATAGAGCCTTGAGCGATTGCACAGCTGTGTCTGGCCTCGTGCAGTCTGGCGCATTCTCACTGGAGTAAAGTCTCCTGTGGCATGGCCAGCCGTCCTTGCTGGGCTGGGGGGCCGGAACAGCTGGCGATCTGCTAGGCATTGTCGGAGAAGGGTTGGGGAGCTGGCCACTGGCCGAGCTGAACTCCTTTCTTTGTTAAATACATTCTGGGCAGCTTCATTTGTGCCGGCTCATGAGCCCTCTAGTGTTCAAAGTGAGTTCCTTTTGGTTGCTTATTTGCTGGGCAGGGAACATGTCCATTGTGGACTGTTTATTTGTTTTGTATCTCTGTGTGCAAGTTGGCGTGTTTGTTTATGGGTTAGCTTTCCTGCATTTTTGTAAGTCTGTGCTTGGACTGGTGCATGGTGAGTGCGTTTTTTTTTTTCTCTTCCTACTTTTCCAGTAGGATAGTATCGATGACTTCTCTGGGCCCAGTTAGGTGTTTAATTCCTCCTTCCCTGGGATCCCTAGGAGGATGTCCTTATCTTGCCACCTGCCTCACCCAAAGATGCACTGCTCAGTGATGGGGGTGCCCTTTGTCCACTAGATTCTGAGGCCTGCCCCAGGCTCCCACTCCTTTTTAATCACATATTACCTGAAGGCAGACCCCAAGCCTGCATGACCGGCTGTGTTCAGTTCTGCCAGGCCCAGTGCTAAACAGAACCTTGCTAATGGCCCGGTGATGATGTCCTAACATGTTGGCACAGCTGGAAAGAGCTCAGGAGTCTTGGCTCCTGTGTCAGTTTCCTGTTGCTGCTATAACAAGCCACACACTTAGTGGCTTAAAAGAACATAGATTTATTCTTTTACAGTTCTAGAGGGTCAGGCATCTAAAGTGGGTTGGCAGAGCTAGTTTCTTTCTGGGGCTCTAGGAGAGAGTCCATATTCCTGCCTGTTCTAGCCGCTGGAGGCTGCCCACATGCCTGGACTTGTAGCCCCAGTCACTCTGGCCTCTGTTCCCACGGTCACATTTCCTACCTTTCACCTTCTTGCCTCCCTTGTATAAGGACCCTGTGATTACAGTGGGCCCACCTGGAAAATCCAGGGTCATCTCCCTACTTGGGGTCTTTGACTTAATCACATCTCAGTGTTTTCTTTTTGCCATATAAGGTAACATGTTCATGATTCCGGGAATTGGAACATGGACATCTTTTTTCAGTCTGGGACTACTCATCAGCCTACCGCAGACTTCCTCCACCTCAGAGAAGATCTAGGAATGTGAATCGATGCGGTGGTCATGGTGCAATTCTGGAAAGGCTTTCCAAACTCCTCCTTCCCCATAGACACCTCCCTACTCCACTAACTTGTGAAATCCTCCTCTCAGAGCATGAAGTCTGGTCATCCACAGTGAGAACTCAGACTCATACAAAGGGCCCGAACATGCTTCTTCTCACTCAGGTGTGAGTGGCTGACACCCCAAGAGTAGGTTCTGATTGCAGGGAGGCACAATGTGAGGGGAGGCAGTGCCAGGGAGGCCGGGGGGACAACTGGGATCATGTCCCGATAATACTCCGGCATGGGGGTGTGGTGGGGGCAGGATCCCAGTGATGGAGTAAAGGCACTTGGAAGTATGACCAGAAAGTTTTAATGAAGCAGAGCAAAATGGCTGCAATGCAGAACAGGTAGTGCTTGGAGAAAAGAAAGAAGACCATCTCCTTGGTGACATAGATTATGTGAATAAAGATGAAACAGTACAGGAACATGGCAAACTGGTTCTGGGGCAGCATGAGGTCCTGGAGGCCTCCCGAGAACTGTGGGGGAGAGAAGATGGTGGAGCTGGTGGCGTCAGGCAGATCTTGGTTCAGTCTTGCTCTGTCCCTGCCCGAATGTGACCTTGGGCAGGTCCTTGGCCTCACCTAAGGAAGGGGTAATGGTGCCTACTTTACAAGCTCACAAGGAAAAAGAGTGAGACAAAAAATGAAAAATTCCTAGTAAAGGTAACTGGCATACAGAGGGAACTCATTATTTTGAACTTTGTGAACCTGCTGCTCTTCCTTCTGACTGGGACGCCAGGCCAACACCTTTCTTTCTCATCATGCTCCATACTGTCCATTGGAGTTACGAGTGTGGGCAGTTTCTCTCTCATTCCAAGCTCCCCAGATCTGGATGCTGGGATTTGGGAGTGTTCTTTGGACAGTTTTCCCTGACATACAACCTGATTTTCTAGACAAAATGGCACGATCAGAGGGTGTCCCTTGGGCACAAATGACTCTCTGGGTCATGGCATGCATCGCCGGGGTCAGTCCCTAGTCCCTCAGTCCAGGGTTTGGTGTCTCCTGGAGGCAGGTGGTGAGAGATGGGTGTTAGGGCCTCCCTCACAGCATTGGGCTGGAGAAAAACAGCTGGGCTTGTCTGGTTGATTGTGCCTGTGAGCTGCTCTTTTCTGGAATCTATATAATTGGGGTCTGACAGATCCCATTTTAACTGTAGAAAGCACCAATGTATAAATAAGGCAAAAGTTGATATAATGATTTTGATCCATAGTTAAGTCATTACCCATGGGTTATTCTTTAAAGTATTTTTAAAAATCGTGCCACATTTTTTTGAAAACAGCCAAGTGGCAGGGACTGAGATGCCCTAAACTGGCTAGAAACACACTCAGATTTTCATTGTATTGACAATACTACTTTATCTGTCCATCCATCTATCCAACCACCCACCTAGAAAAAGAGAAGAGGGGGAACTTCACGATCAAGTCAAATCCTTACCTTGATTTGACTTGCACAAAAAGCGAAACACTTTTGTAAACTATTACCAAAGGCTGGGGATGGGGACGTATTATTGTTGAAATAGCTACATATAACGTGAGGGCAACTAAATAAAATCTTGAGGGCAGAAAGTGACTCCAGTGATGTTGCCTTTAAAATGAATAGCGAGGGAAGCCAAAGACCAGAGGAACACAATGTTCTGATGGGAGTGGAGGGCTGGACCAACCCAGCAGTTTTCTGTGGCTCAGTGTGGCTCTGGGCCTATGGACTCTGTCACCTTCCTGGAGTCTGTGTGTTTTCAGTCTGAAAGTGCTGGTGGGTAATCATTATATTTCTGATCACAAAACATGCATTTGTGAACCCTTTAGACTTTTCAAAATACTTTCAATGGTCTAACTTTTGAACAGAAGACAGAGACAGATAAGACTATACGCCAAGGATTTCCATCTCATCCAGCAAGGAGAGAGATTTTTCAGTCTAAAAATGGGAAATAAATATGGTTAGGAGGAGACACAGACCAAAGGCAAAGTACAATACCATATCTGCTTTAAGTAGTTTCAGGCTCCAATTCATGACAAATTTTATCCTAGGATACTAAGGAAAAGCACAAGTTTGGAAATGGAACTTAGGAGAATTAAAAAATATTAGGAAGTGTTTTGTCAGCATCTTAGATACAGGTAAATATTTTCCAGATTTTCAAAAAGAAGGGGGGAAAGATCTTAGTAATCTCAGTTCAATAAGCTTGACTTGGCTCAGTGAAATCATTTAGTGTGTAATTAAGCAGGTATTTTGTGAGCAAGAAAAAAAAATTATGACACCAACTTGTATTCATTAATAACAAATCATGCAAAACCCACCCCATTTTCTTTTAAAAAAAATAACCAGTCAACTGGGCAAATGCTATAGGTAATGTAAAATCTTAATTCTGGGAGACCATTGACAGTGTGTCTCAGGACAGGTTTTTGGATAAGGTAGAGAAATGTGACCTGGATAAAATGTAACTTAAGGGTACTGATTCATGGAACATTGCTAACCTGTAGGGAGATCTGTTAGTGGTATTTATTTTAGGTCATATCCTTCTCAACAATTATAGCAGCGACTTAGATAAAGACAGAAGGCAAGCTTCTCAGAATTGAGGATGACTCAGAGCTGGGAAGCATAGCTAATACATTACATCCTAATAAAACTGAGAAGTGATAAATGTAAGTTGCTGCATTTGGGTCAAGAAGTGAATTGCATGAGTACATAAATATGGTAATAGCTAGCATTTATTGAGTGCTTATCTAATGTGCTGGGCTCGTTGCAAAATGCCTTGCATGCATTCTCTCATTTAATCCTTATGACAACACTATGAGGTAGGTACAACCTCATGGATGAGCAAATCCCAGAGCTTAAAGAGCAAGAAAGTAATTTGCTCAACATCGCACAGCTCATAGATGGCATAACTGGGATTTTCACCCAGGACTGTCTGACTTTAATGCCTAGGCAACACTGCTTTAACAATGACATCTTCCACTATTGAGTGCTTATGATGGCCTAGCCACTGTGCTAAGCTCTTCACATCCCGTATAATCTCAAATAAGCATTCTTATCCTCATTTAGTACAGATTTGGAGAGAGCGGTACATTCTTGTGAAAAGATGGCTCGGCTCTTACAGTTGACTACAAGGCAGTGTGACCCAACAGAGTAAATGTAGACCTGATGGGAAGGAGATGGTTCTATTAAGGTCCACTGGCCAAAGCTGGGCGTGGTGGTATGCACCTGTAGTACCAGCTACTCAGGAGGCTGAGGTGGGAGGATGGCTTAAGGCCAGCAATTCAAGGCTGTAGTATCCTGTAAAGCCCATGAATAGCCTCTGAAGTGGGATTTGAGTAGTCTCCAGCATCACATTTTGAGAAATGCAGAGCTGGGGGCATGGCTCCTGCCTGTAATCCCAGCAACTGGGGAGGCTAAGACAGAAATATTGCTTGAGCTCAGGAGTTGGAGACCAGCCTGGGCAGCATAATGAGACCCTCATCTCTACAGAATAATAAAAAATAAGCTAGGCATGGTGGCGAACTCCTGTATCCCTAGCTACTTGGGAGGGTGATGCAGGAGGATCCCTTGAGCTGGGGAGTTGGAGGCTGCAGTGAGCTATGATCTTGCCAGTATATTTTAGGGTGGGTGACAGGGTGAGATCCTGTCTCTTAAGAAAAAGAAAATGCAGGCCAGGTGTGGTGGCTCACACCTGTAATCCTAGCACTCTGGGAGGCCGAGGCGGGTGGATAGCTCGAGGTCAGGAGTTTGAAACCAGCCTGAGCAAGAGCGAGACCCCATCTATACTATAAATAGAAAGAAATTAATTGGCCAACTAAAATATATATAGAAAAAGTTAGCTGGGCATATGGTGGCACATGCCTGTAGTCCCAGCTACTCGGGAGGCTGAGCCAATAGGATTGCTTGAGCCCAGGAGTTTGAGGTTGCTGTGACCTAGGTTCATGCCACGGCACTCAGTCTAGCCTGGGCAACAAAGCGAGACTCTGTCTCAAAAAAAAAAAAAAAAAAAAAAGAAAAAGAAAAAATGCAGAGAGGAATTGAAAGTGGTGGAAATTCGGTCCTAGAGGAAGTGTGGAAGACTTTCCCCTTAATTTTCCCTTAAGCTATCAAAAGGGCCATTGGGTGGGCGATGTGGTTTTGGGCTCCTCCTAGCCTCAGCTCTCCACGGATCCAGCTCACCACGGAAGCTCTGGGAAACAGAGCCATCCCGTGTAGGGAGGCGGGCTCTAAGGCCAGGAGCAGCCCTCTCTGGAAGTGACCCAAGCCATGACACCCTGTGTGGACGCTCAGTCCCTTATAGCGAGATCCGGGATGGGATCTGCAGGGCGGATGGCTGCCGTGCAGCAGGGAAGGGCCACCCCTGCTTGCCTGTGCCTTCCCTCCCAGCTCTTCCCTTCCTGTCACCTACCAGGTTACCTACCAGGTCACCTACCAGGCGTGATGCCCTCGGGGGTGACGCCTGCTGCTGCAGCTGCTCCATCACCTGCTCGTGCTGCCGCTGCCGCTCGTTCTCCTCATGCAGGTACTTGAGCCGGGTGAGCTCGAACTCCATGCGCATCTTCTCCAGCTCCATCTCACTGGCGGCGTTGTGCTCTGTCCCCGAGGACAGAAGCCACTCTGGGGATTCGGGTCCGTCACCTGCCTGGCCCTTGGTGGTGGTGCCAGACTTGGGGGACGGTGACTTAGGTGGCCCTGGATAGCCTCCTCCATCCTCACAAGTTTCCATCTCTTCCAAGTAGTCATAGGAGGAATCTGGCTTTGGAGGCTCTGGCTTCGGAGGCTCAGCCTCCTGGGGCAGAGACAGGAGAGGGGAGGGGGAAACAGAGAGGCCTCAGAATCTGTTGCCCACCACCCCGTGGCACTCCCGCATACCCAGGCCACAATGACTGGGGTGTTTGAAAGAGAGTCCTGAATTTAAACATCTAGACCGAGTTCTCACCAGAAGCATGCTTACCCGGAGCTGTCCTGATCTGAGAGTTGAGAAGAGAGCAAACTAACATTAAGGGGGCCCGAGAGTTGCAAGCGGAGACATTGCGTGTTGAGAGGGATGTCTGTCTTCCTAGAGGTTTTCAAATCACCACCTCCCCCCTCACCCCATGGTTAGGGGGACTGGTTAGACACTAGTTCTTCTGGGGGCTACAGAGGGAGAAGGGATCCCCAGGTCTGCACCGAAAGAGCCTAAACATATGGGCATCAGCAAGAGGACCGCGGGAGCCAGGTTCCATCCACAGAGCAAGGAAGGACCCCACGTGGGATGGCAGATGGACGAGATCAAAGCCAGCTTCAAGTGACTGACTTCGCCATCTTATGAAGGGCTACCTGGTCCCTGGTGACAGCTGGGTACCAGTGATGGGGAAGGGGTACATGTCACCTGCTCCTTTTTTTTTTTTTTTTTTTTTTTTGAGACAGAGACTCGTTTTGTTGTCCAGGCTAGAGTGAGTGCCGTGGCGTCAGCCTAGCTCACAGCAACCTCAAACTTCTGGGCTCAAGCGATCCTGCTGCCTCAGCCTCCGAGAAGCTGGGGACTACAGCATGCTAATTTTTTCTATATATATTAGTTGGCCAATTAATTTCTTTCTATTTATAGTAGAGACGGGGTCTCACTCTTGCTCGGGTTGGTTTCAAACTCCTGAGCTCAAACGATCCACCCGCCTCGGCCTCCCAGAGAGCTAGGATTACAGGCGTGAGCCACCGCTCCCGGCCTGTCACCTGCTCTTCTTGGCAGCTCTCTGGAACCTCAGCACTCAGCTCCAATCACGTGTCCCTAGAGTACCTCCCTCTCCCTCACTGGGGCAGTGAGAAGGGACACCCCCTTACCAAAGAAGCCCTTGGCTTCCCTTCAGACACGGAGTCCACAGGCACCGTCTTGGGGAAGGTAGGGCAGCTTTCTCCGGCCCCCCGAGTTTCCATCTCCTCTGTTGCCATCCAGAACACCACAATGCTGCTAACGGGGGCCAAAGGACATCTTTTGAGGCACTAACATTTGGCCTCACCAGATTCCACAGCCTGGCCACCATCACAATCCTCTGTCCTCACAATAACCCACATTCTACCTGGTTGCTAGGGCCCCTGTGGTAGAGAGTGTGACATCTTTGAGGTGTCATCAAGCACTGCAGAATGGGCCTTTACAGCCCCTAAGGACTGCTTTGAAAACTAAAATCCCACCACTTGAAATCCAGATTTCCACCATCTGAAGTCTATTCCCTTGTGCTACTCTTTTAAATGCAGATTTTATTGGGTTGAGTCACAATTAGCTCCATAAACCCTGTTAAGGGCTGAACCACATCCTGAACCACATCCCAAGTTCATATGTTGCAGTACTATAACCCCTGGTACCTCAGAATGTGACTATTTGGAGATAAGGTCTTTAAAATGTTGATTAAGTTAAAATGAGGTCATTAGAATGAGTCTTAATCCAATATGACTGGTGTCTTTAGAAAAGAAAATTCAGACCCAGACATGAACAGAGGAAAGGGGATGTGAAGATATGCGAGAAAGTGGCCATCTACAAACCAAGGGGAGAGACTTTGGATTAGTTAGAGTTCCCCAGAGAAGCACAAACAATAAAAGATATGTAAAATGATATTTATTATAAGGAGTTGACTCAGACAATTATGAAGGCTGAGAAGTTCCAAGATCTCCTGTCTGCAAGCTGGGGTCCCAGGAAAGCCAGCGGTATCGTTTCTGATCTGAGTCCAAAGGCCTGAGACCCAGGACCGTGAGTGCTGTAAGTCCCACTCCAAAGCCAGGAGAAGACTGGTGGCTCACCTCAATGTCGTCAGGCAGATAGAATCCGTCCAACCTTCCTCTGTCTTTTTGTTCTTTTGGGGCCCACTCCAGATTGAAGGAGACCCATCCACATTGGGGAGGGGGGCAATCTACTTTACCTAGTCCACTGATTCAAATGCTAATCTCTTCCAGAAACACCCTCAAAGACAGACTCAGAAATAATATTGAAGCAGACATCCGGGCATCCAATGGCCCATTTAAGTTGACACAGAAAATTAACTATCACAGATTGATCTCTCTCAGCTCTCGGAAGGAACCAACTCTGCTGACACCTTGATCTCAGATGTTTAGCCTCCAGCACTGTGAGCAAATGAATTTCTGTTGCGTAAGCCATCCAGCCTGTAGGACTGTTACAGTGGCCCTATCGAATGTGTGCAACCCCATCCTTCACACTCCCTGGGGGTAGAGTGGGTTGGGGGGAGCAGTAAAAGAGATCAGAAGGCTGGGGAATATATTTTGCCATCTTCCATTTTGTGAAAACCCCAACAAAACCTTTTTGGTATTTGAAGGCAGGGTTGCATTATGGAAAAAGGAAGGCTGCATTTGAATTTGAGCTTTGCTACTTTCTCTAGCTGTGTGACCAAGGAAATGTCATTTTACCTGTCTGAGGCTTAGGGTACTCATTTGTAAATGGGATGATGATTTATGTACTTCCCTACATTTCAGGACTGATGTGAAAATAAACTACTGTGTTTAGCCTACTCCCTGCCCATATGGGGACTAAGCAAACGATAACAATCATTGTTGTTATTATAAGGAGTGGGTTTGTCACTGGAGAGAAGAGAGTGCTCAAGGTTTACCTTCTGTCTTTCCTGCAAATACTTAGCTGAGGTGTGGCTTTTCTCTCTGGGCATTATGGTAGGGACCATGTGATCTATCTCACAGTTGTTGTATGTTGTCCATCCTGCCTCAAGCACTAGGAGTAGGATTGCCAGATAAATATAGGATGCCCAGTTAAACTTGAATTTTAGATAAATAATTTTTAGCATAAATTTGTGTCAGACACATTTCTCCTAAAAACTTATTTGTTGTTTATCTGAAATTCACATTTCACTGGGCATCCTGTGTTCTCATTTGCTACTCTGGCCATCTTAACTGGGAGAGACCTGCCCAAAGAAACAATTATATATGACCAAATAATTGAGGCAGCTTTGTTTCAGGTGTCTCTCATCTACTTGGGAACAGTGGGCTAGCCTGGGCACACTCCTCTCATGGTGATGGAAGAGGCACATGAGGCCTCGGAACTGGCACACTGTCACTCCTGTCTTACGCTGTTGGCCAAAGATGGTCATATGGCCAAACCTGGACAGAGTCAAAGGACGGGGAATGTGCTCTGTCTGTTTAGTGGGAGGAACTGGAAAGACATAGAATCAAAGGTGTGGCTACAGAGGATGTAGAATTGGGGCCCACTGGGCAACGTCCCGTGGGAGTCAGGAGGTCAGTTGTGGGAAGGTTTGGTGGAAGAAGTGACACGAAGGGAGGGTAGGATTTGGGTGAGAGGGAAGATGAGCATGAGCAGTCTTGACTAATGATGATTTTCAGACTGCTTCTCCATTTCTGCCCTCTGCCCTTCTCCACCCTGCCCTTTCCCTAGGAGGCTCACATCTGTGAAACTGCATTCATTCATTTAACAAAGCACTGTATTCCAAAGCAGAACAGAGCCTGGCATTCTCATTACCTCTGTCCCTAGATAAGACGATCACAAACCTGTCCTTTAGGGCTGGGAAGATAGGTCTCATGAGCCTCTGGTTGGTTTGGCACTGGTGGCCGCATGAAAAGAGCCTCCGCCTCCCCCATTGAGCTCAGGGAAAAGAGTCTACAGTACAGCCACACGTGGGGACAGGGGAGACAGGATTGCGTGGGAGCCCAGCAACAGGGATGAGGGATGACTCTGCTGGACCCAGGGCAGCTCCAGTGCCCAGCAGTCAGAGCTGCCATGCCGTCGTGTCTTACTCACTGTTAGAACTTGGCTGATTCTGGTATTTCTGCTCCTGTGTCCTCTCACTTCTCATTGACATCGTCCTCACTTTTTTTCCTGTGCTGTAGCTTCACTGCATGCAAGGTTTCTGCTTCCTCCCAATTTCAGCTTCAGCTTCTCATGGTCCTTCAGGCCCGGACCATATGGCCTTTCTGCCTCCTGTGTTGTCTGTCCTAACTGTCGGAGTTGCTTGTTATTTCCTAGAAGACCTTTCCAAGGGCAAGAGTCAGAATGTGCTGGCTTATCTCCACTAGGGCAGAGCTTTTTTTCACTGTAGCCCCGGGGCAGCCTACAGATTGGGAAGGTGGCCAGCCCAGTTCACTCTGCGGTGAAGCGGAAGGATGGGAGGGCAGGCTCACAGGGCACAGTGCACAGCAGGCTGGGGTTGTTGGCAGCAGGAGCTGCGGGTGGGTCAGTTTCCCTTAGAAAGGGCCCTGGGCATAGCAAGCACCATGCTGAAGATTGATGGGCATGTTCACAGGGCGATGTATCAATTATAGGCTTGGCAAATAACCAGGCGAGAGGCTTGTATATCAGTACGGTGCCCATAAGCTTTCATGTACATTTTCTCATTTGCTTCTCAGAATGCTCTTGTGAGGCAATTTAAAGCAGATACAATTACTGAACCTGATAAATAAGGAACTTACGTCACACAGAGAGATGAAGCGATGTGTGTCTGCTTGCAAACCACATTAGTGGTTGAGCCAGGACCTGAATCCACGTTTCCCATCTCCTTTCCCTCTGGGTTTTTTTTTTTTTTTTTTTTTTTTTTTGAGACAGAGTCTCACTCTGTTACCCAGGTTAGAGTGCAGTGGTGTCATCATAGCTCACAGCAACCTCAAACTCCTAGATTCAAGCAATCCTCCTGCCTCAGCCCCCTCAAGTAGCTGGGACTACAGGTGTATGTTACCATACCTGACTAATTTTTCTTTTTCTTTTTCTTTTTAATAGAGATAGGGTCTTGCTATGTTGCTGAGGCTGGTCTCGAACTCCTGGCCTTAAGTGATCTTCCCAAAGGACTGGGATTACAGGCATGAGCCACCACACCCAGTCTCCCTGTATTTTTATACTAGATCATAAAGATGGTCTTTGGGGCTCCAACTCTAAGAAGTGAAATGACTTTCTGCTTCATAAAAAGAAAAAACTCAGTATGTACATACAGGTTTATTAATAGCATTGTTTATAACAGCAGAAAACTGGAAACAAATTTCCACCAGAAGGGATCTGATTAAACAGTTGGTGCTATATCTATCTCAAGAATACTATGCAGATGTTTAAAAGAATAAGATTAAAGAAAAAAGAATAAGATAGCTGCATCAGTGCAAATATCTTGTTCTCCAAGATACATTATTTACTAGAAGAGCAGGAGCAATGTTCCCATGTGTATCTAAATATGAAAATATACTATCCTCCTGTATACCTAGAATATGTCTGGAAAGACACATAAGAAGCTGGTTCATGATGGCCATCTCTGTGGTTAGGGAGCTGAGGGATTGGGGTTTAGGGTAGGAGGGGACTGATTCTTAACTATATATCATTTTGTACTTGACTTTTAAAAACCACACGCATATATTACATTTTTAATCAAAATTTTAAAAAGGTATCTGGAGGAGGGAGCCGTGCTCAGCATAAGTAAAGTTTGGAATGAATAACTTGTTCAAGTTGAGGACAGACAGGTATCTTCAAGCCACCTGGTCATAGCCTTGTCACCTTTTTTCCCTACTCTCCAATCCTGGGTTGTCCTACTTGATTAGAGATGGATGTCTTATTGCTAAAATGTCCTCTTCTTTTTCTGGCTCTTAGCTACATTCTCTGTTGTGGATTTCAGACACTTTCCTCAGGTGTGCTGGAGTATTTAGAGGATTATAATAGTAACAATTTAATGGGCACTAACCATGTACCAGGCACTGGGAATTTTTCATGGATTATGTGACTTAATTTTCAGAGCAACTTATGAGTTAGGTCCTATTATTATTTCTGTCTTTATAGAAGTCAAAACTGAGTTATGGAGAGGTCAAGTTACCTGCCCAGAGTTACACAGCGAAGAAAAGGTGAAGCCAGGATTTAAGCACTGAAGTCCTTGTATTTAATCCCTTCCTGCACAAAATACCTAAAGTGGTTTTTGGCCAATACAGGGGGTATCCAGGAGAAGAAGGTGACTCAAGGTGATTCACTGGGGAAATCAGACTGAGGAGGGAGCAAGGACTGCCCAACGAGGGCCTTCCAAGGAAGATGCAGGGATGTGTATGAATGCACGTGTTAGGAGTTTTGTCAAGGCCTAGTCAGGAGACAGAAACCACACAGTCATTCCAACAGGGAAGGTAGAATACAAAGAATTATTAACTAGCAATAGGCAATTGGCTACTACTTAGAGGGTAAAGAGAACTCTGTATATCTAGAATGGAATAC